CTGTTTTTTCCTCCGTCCTACCGAAGCCGTTGCTGTTACTTCTGCAAAGTAATTCATGCCCGTTCCTCTCGTTTGAAAAGCCGTCCCGCGTTTCCATCAGCTGCTCTGTTGGAAAAGTTAAAGTGCGGCGGCTTGAGCTGCTCCGGACCGTTTCCTGTTATTTTCCATGCCCGGTTTTATAAAACACCCCCCCGCGCGCGCTCCCCAGCCTGTCACCTGATAGAAGAAGGACACTTGGGGCGCTCCCGTCAAAAGGAACATCCCCGCCCTGGCTTGAAATGCTAGCGGAGGCTAACTTTGGAAAGGATCGAGAAAAACGTGACTGGTTCCTTCCTACTCAGTTACTCATGGCTGAAAAGTAATCTCGTTAATACCACCACCCCCTTTCTAAACAAGGGAAGCCGCTGCAGAGAGGCAGGCAGGCAGGGAGGGGCCTTATCTCTTCTTTTCTTGCGCCCAGCCCTGAACTTTCTTACTGTCTTCCGTTGCCCCTGGGCGGCCCAAACACGGATTCTCCACCACCCTCCCGTGCCAGCCTTCGAGGGCGCCCGGGGTGAATTCCCAGAGTTAGGGTCCTGCTCGTGCCCATGGGGACACGTGGGGCCATTTGGGCAGCTACAGCCAGAGCTTAGGAAATAAAACCAAACCATGGCTGGCGCTTGCGGGTCCTGTACTTCCCTTTTCTTTCCTTAGGATAATCCTTCACTGGACTTCCTTTCCTTTCCTTCTCTATAAAGGCCCAGGGCCTTGAGACCTTTGGCTGCAAGAAAGCTAGAACTCTCAAGCTGAGTAAATAAATGCAAACAGCAGCTGAAATCTTCTTGTTTCTGCATTTGTTGTTGAGGTTTTTCATCGGTTCCAAAACATTTCCCCCCTCCCATTTAGCTTGATGACTAGAAATCAAATACGGAAAACGGGTGACCTCTCTTGTTGACCCCTGTTTGCTTTTCATTCAGAATTGAGTGTTTCATCTGCCAGCAGTGCTAGACAGAAGCCAGCTTCTCTACCAGGCACTCTCTCTCTCTCTCTTTCTCAAAAAAAGTCTCAAAACTTCTCCTGATTCCTGCCAAGCTTCACACGACCTGGTTAAGCTCACCAACTATGAGGAAGGGAAGCCAACACCCAGACCCACAGCGGGCGGATGCCTCTCTTACAACCAGCCGGACCCCCACCCCCACCC